TGTACAAACTCAAACCCTAATTTTGGTCATTAGTGTATGAGGAGGTGTCTTGAGCTGATCAAACCATAGTGCAGTCTTGAACCCAAAGAGATCTTGTGAGAAAATTCATGATAAATGACAGGGAAAATTTTGGGGTACAACAGAAGGTTTATAAAATTATTGGAGATATACTAGAGTAAGAAGAAGATAAATAGATTTAGATCGTAGAAACAGAAAAGAAGCGTAGAAGAGAGAAGAGGAGAAAGAGCACTAGGAAGCTAGGGAAAAAAGATTCACAATAGGATTCAAGAATCATCACCAATCTAAAGTAAGAGGGGGGTTATAACTTTATAATGGGTTGCATAATGATGGGGTATGGTAGGATCTAGGTTGCGTGATTGTATGTTTTGATTTCTCCCTATTTGGTTGTTTTGGGTTTTTTTCCCATTGATGAACTTTTGGTGCTTTTGGTGTGTTTTTGATGAGATTGGATGATATGAATTGGTTAGAATTGATAGCCAAATGTTGGTGAGTAATTATAATACTTTAAAGATAAATTTTGATGAAAAACTGAGAATTTTGGGTGTTGGAATAAGAGAAATCGTAATTGGAAAAATTGTAGTATTTTTCACTACTATCGCAGGGTAACAGGTTACCCAGTTATGGTAACCGGTTACCATGTAAAAAGTTGGAAAATAAAGGTGACTGACTTTGTAGTAACTGATTACCATAAGTGGGTAACTGGTTACCGCGAGGAATTTTAGAAAAACAAAGTTATTGACTTGCAGTAACCGGATACCATAACTGGGTAATCGATTACCACTGTAGCTGGCAGAATTTTTAGAAAATTTTGAAAATCATTAACTTTCGCCTCAGGTGTCCGTTTGATGCGTCGTTTGGATCGTTGGAAAGGTAAAATTGTTTCCTATATTTTAAAAACAAAATATAGTTCAATATCTAATTATTTCACTAACATTGGTACCTATCTGTATGTATGTTTTTTGAGCTATATATTATAATTCATAATGTGAATAAGTAGAACGATGTTGTGTGATTGTTTGGGTTGTGTGACATGATATGCAGGTTAAAGATAATGATGATTGCCTGTATTGGTATGACATTGATAAGTAATATTGATCAATGTGAAATTATGTTGTTTCATGTCAGTGTCACATGCATTTATTAAAAGATGGTTTGTATTGGCGAAAGATGGCATGTATTGACGAAAGATGGCCTGTATTAGCGTTGCTGCCCCTAAGTTGGCATTTACTAAGTTGAGGGTATTGCCCTATTAGTACCACATGAATTGATAAGTGTCATTTCTCTTCATTTCATAGTTGTTAATAGATGATTGTTTGAATATTGATTGAGTCTCTAATTTTGTTATGATGGATGTTGTGTTGTTTCGCATTTGATTATGATGGTGAACTTTGTAGTATGATGACCAATGAATAGGTGTGAGGTAAAGATGTATAATGATGTGTACTTGGATTGCTATCTTATCATTATTATTCTTCTTCTTATATTGTTATGATATCTCACACTTTTTGTTTGAATGTTACCTCTATGTGGGTAACGTGCAGATGATCCGAGTAGATAGAGATCAAACTTAGCTGAGGTGTTTTTTCAGTGTGTAGATTGAGTCGGCGACTGCTCTAATACGTAACACTTGGGGGTTTTGTGCGATTTGTTTGTTAGGAGTGAACTTGTATTACTCCTTTGTTTGAATTACCTTATGATTGTGTCAATGTTTTGAAGGTGAATAATTACAACTCCGGTTGGAGAATTGAGATGACTATTTAGCTATGTTTTCCGCTGCGAATAAATGCACTAAAGTTTAAGACTTATAAACATGTGATTGGTGTTGCGTATCTTATTTAATGAGCATGTATGATTTATGAAGTATGTGACATCCTATTTGACGTTGTACTTTAGGAATAAATTTACTTTGATTTTTATTTAAATTATCGACGGGGAAATATGGTGTTACAGGGCGGGCCTAAACGGGGAGGGCATGCCCGTTTGCCACTCCTAGGTACCATAATGAACATTTTATTTTAAAATTTGTGAGAGATAAATTATGATAGGGTCAAAATGGTCTTTTCAAAATATATGGGAGTGCCAGTTGAAACTATTGGGGTGTCAAGTAAATCCCCCTTTAATCTGCCATATTTTGCGGGTTTAGTCTAAATTTTGAATCTGCACCCTTCATTTTAACCGTCCTTTCCCATTTTTTTGGTATGACAGACCTAATCTTAAAAAGAACATAAACTTAATATGTATAAATTGTTATCGCATAATCTTAATATTACATTAACATAGAAAAATTAAATAATCTATTGATATAATTGATAGACATTGCAATATCATTTAAAAGTATATAACAATAATTATTAAAATTCTTATAATATGAATATAAATTACTTTGTTGGAGGAAGAAGTGGGGGCGGAGCTGGATTGACAAAAGTAATAGCACACATACCAGATCGACATAACCTTTCAATAGGACATATTCTTCCACATCCACCATAATTCAAAGGACTTAAATTTGTGTTTACACATAATCGCTTACAACATTATCAATTAAGTGGACAATTTACACCACATATCCCACAATTGTTTATATCTTTTGTAATATCCACACATCGGTTTCCACAATATACATTTTTTATGAAAATGTTTTAATACTACATATCCATGGTATGGTCTTATACTGCAATCAGGTGATTCTTCATCCATATCAACTTCCTCAACCACAATATTGTGGTTGATGAAATTTTTGTTCACTTCATCATTTAGAATTGAAATTAAATGAACCCCTCAATTTTGATTAACAACACTAGAAGCAAGGTCACAACTGTTGCAAATTGTGTTTCTAGAATACTCATTGTGAAAACTTGTGAGAAGCTTAAGATTTTGATAATTGTATATACAGTGCCAGTACTTACTTAATATGACCAATAACATACATAACTTTTGTAACAGGCTTTGATGAACATGTTTTTCTTACATGTATGCATGACATTGGCAACCTTGGACGGTGATCTTAATTTTTTTGTGTTTGTTTTAACTTTTGATGTTGAAGACACTAAAAGACAATTAAAACAAAAAATTAGAACTTTTGTGTAAAATATGACTTGGCAAGAATGTTGTGTGAAAACTTAAAACACGCACAAACATCGACAATGTTGCATGGTAAGTGTGTTTACTAAAATTTATATTTTTTCTATAATTTGTTTAATCTAAAAAATGTAATATTATATTTTAAAAAACTTAATTTTTTTCCAAAAATAAAAAGTGGAAAATTACTAACATATTTTAAGGGAATGTTTTTTCTGAAAATTAGAAATTTTATTTTTTTTTACATTTTTTATTGAAAAAATACCTTTAAATTTCTTGAGTTTTTCTTCCTAGAAATAAAATAAAAAAGATATTGTGTTTTAATTCGAATTTTTTCCTGAAAATGAAAAATAAAAATAAAATTTAAAATTAATTTTTTAAAATTTAATGAATTTTTAAATAACAAAAACAAAAGACACTATGCTTCTAAAAAAATTATTTTGTTTTCTTCTATGAAAAAAAAACAATATGTTAATTTTAGAGAAATGTTTTATTTATTTTTTACTTCTGGAAATAAAAATATGAAAAAATTTATTTACTTTTTCTAAAAATAAAGGAAAAATAATCATTTTTTATTCTTAAAAATTACTATATTTATAAATAAAAAATTAAATAATTTTCTTAAATATAAATCATTTTAAAATAGTTTCGCATATAAAACCGATTTATAAATGTAAAAAAGAAAACAATGAGATGAATCATATTTTTATAGTCTATCTAAATATAGATAATTTCAGTGTTTCCTTTTATTTTTTAATAAATTATTTTTTTAATTTTTATTTTTTTTAATAGAAAAAGAAAACGGTGAGATCATCTGTATTTTTATAGTCTATTCAATATTTTTATATTCTATTAAAAAATATAGATCACTTTATCATTTTTTTCATTAAAAAATAAAAAGTAAAGTGAGATGATACAGTAAAAAATAAAAAATAAAAAATGTGATTATCCATATTTATATAGACTATAAAATATAGATTATTTCATCGTTTCCCTTTTTATATTTAAAAATCAGTTTTATATGTAAGGTAATTTTTTTAATTTTTTATTTATAAATAAAGTAATTTTTAAGAAGAAAAGTAAATAAACTTTTTCATTTTTTATTTCCTGAAGTAAACAATAAAATAAAAAAATTTCTCTAACATTAACATATTGTTTTTTTTTAAATTATTTTCAAGTTAGAAATATATTGTTTTTAGTTGTTCATATTTTAAAAAACACGAAATTTTAAATTTTTTTTTAAGAAAAAGAAAAATCGAATTAAAACACGATATCCTTTTTATTTCTAAGAAGAAAACTCAAATATATATATATATATATATATATATATATATATATATATATATATATATATATATATATATATATATATATATATATATATATATATATATATATATATATATATATATATATATATATATATATATATTTTGTTTTTTTCAATAAAAGAGACGTTTAAAAAAAACACTCTTTTAAAATGTTAACAATTTTGCCTTTTTGACTTGGGGAAAAAGTATGTTTTATATATAAAATTGTACACTTTTTAGATTAAATAAATTATAGAAAAATATATAAATTTTAGTATAATATTCACCACGCAACACTATCGATGTTTGTGTGTCTTTTAAGTTTTCACACATCATTCTTATCAAGTCATGTTTTACACAAAAGTTCTAATTTTTTGTTTTAATTGTCTTTTAGTGTTTCCAACATCAAAAGTTAAAACAAACACACAAAAATTTAGGTCACCGACCAAGGTTGCCAATGTCATGCATATATGTAAGAAAAACATGTTCATCAAAGCTTGTACAAAAGTTATGTATGTTACTGGTCACATAAGTAAGTACTTCACTATATATACAATTATCAAAATCCTAGGTTTCTCACAAGTTTTCACAATGGCTGCTCTAGCAATACAATTTGCAACAGTTATGACATTGCTTCTAGTGTTGTTAATCAAAATAGAGGGGGGTCATTCGGTTTCAATCCCAAATGATGAATTGAACAAAAATTCCATCAATAGTGTGGCTGAGGAAGTTGGTATGAATGAAGAATCACTTGATTGCACTACAAGACCATGGATATGTAGCACCAGAACATTTCCACCAAGAAGTGTATGTTGTGGAAACCGATGTGTGGATATTGCAAAAGATATAAACAATTGTGGAATATGTGGTGTAACTTGTCCACTTAATTGGCAATGTTGTAATCGTTTATGTGTAAACACAAATTTAAGTCCTTTGAATTGTGGTGGATGTGGAAGGATATGTCCTATTGGAAGGTTATGTCGATCTGGTGTGTGTGCTGCTACTTTTGCCAATCCAGCTCTACCCCCACTTCTTCCTCCAACAAAGTAATTTATACTCATGTTATAAGAATTTTAATAATTATTGTGATATACTTTTGAATGATATTGTAATGTGTATCAATTATATCAATGGATTAATTAGTTTTCATATGTTAATGTCATCTTAATGTTATGTGATAAAATTATATTCAAATTATATTTATGTTCTTCTGAAGTTTAGGTCCGTCAAGCTAAACAAATGGGAAAGGATGGTTAAAATGAAGGATGTGGATTTAAAATTTAGACTTAATCCACAAAATATGGAAGATTAAAGGGGAATTTATTTGACACCCCAATAGTTTCACATGACATTCTCATATATTTTGAAAATGTCATTATTGACCTTATCATAATTTACCTCTCACAAATTTTGATAATAAAATATTCATCTTGGCTTTGTAAAAACTAACAAATTTGATAGCTATTTGGAAAATTCGGTTCAAATATTAACATTTTTTGAAGAAAATTTACGAATTTAACTTGATATATATAGGAAATGAATTATCAAGTATGTGTTAAAATCATAGTCTTAGGAAATCTGGTGGATCAGATTTTTATGGCACCCATGAAAATCTGGTAGGCTTATTTTTTCCTTTTCATTTATGTTGTTTAAATGGATGGTTTAGATTGCACACCAACACTTTTGTATGGTTGACAATGATTTAATGGATTAATACTTTAATGTTAATCGATTTCTAATTAGCCTTCTATAATGGTCGCAACTTTTTTAAGTTTTAATCGATTAAAACATTAAGTTTATTCGATTAACTGGCACATGATTTGAAATTCCAACCGCATTAATCAATTAACCCTTAGGTCTAGTCATTTAAGAGTTAAAAAAATCCAACTCCTTGATTCTTTTGGTCTTGTAAGGGCTTTTTAGGCCCATATTTCTTTTGGTACCTCCCCCATTTGGTTTTTGACCCATTTTTGTTCAAAATTTCATTTTTCAAGAAACCACTGGTTGAAAAATAAATATATTGAAAGTGTGATAATTTTAGCACTTGTTAGAAGAATAAACAAAGTTTTGAGTTTATTCTCCACCAAATTAATTGCTTATTTTACCAATAAAGTTTATAGGACTTTTTTCGTTTGGCTTTATTCGCAACCAAACTGAATTTTCTTTCTTTTGTAGTTCTCTAAACCATTTGATACATGATGGAGTTTTAGAATTCATTTCTTCCTCATAGATGTTCTTTGCAAAGATTTCAAGATTGGAGCAATATCTCCCAATAGCCAACAAATGTTTGGATATATTATTTCGACAACTTAATCTTATTTGACAATGTTCCCTTCAAGCTTTAAAGCAATCTTGCAAGAGAAAATTAGTTTTTTACCTTTGGCGCATAAATAGTTTTGGTTCCTTTAGTGTTATTAAAATTAAGGTGGTTCAAATTATGGATCTATGTGCCTTCCGGTATAATCAAGATGTGATTCAAGATGGTGAAACTTATGAATATCAAGATATAAGTCAATCAAAACTGCTTAGCTTTGGTCATGTATGGATTTGATTACGACAACACTTTAGCAGCTGCTTAGTTTGATGTTTTAATGATGATAATGCTTGAATTCAAGCAATTTCTAAAGTTAACGCAAGCAGTCAAAGATGCACAACGTGGTTGATCAAGTTATTCTCCTGAATCAAGCTAAATACATTTGTTCAAATTCAACACTACAGTCCAATGACTACTAAGACTTAGGATTTATGATTACTAGTGGTTTACACTTTCGAAATCTCAAATGATGGTAACTAACATGGAAATATATCAAGCCTCGTCAAGAAACTCAAGGTTCTTGTTTGATGCTAACATCAAAGATAATGATACAAAGACTTAAAGCTTTAGAGCGTGAAAAATAGGAAGTGTGAAAGCTCGCTTGACCGTTGTTGTACCACAAAATTTTACCTCTTACTTATAAACAACATATCTTATGCTTCATCATCATATTCATCATTTGCATTGCATTAACTCAATGATAAGTGATCAAGGGTTTTGGTTTGGTGAGTATATACTAATTAAGAGAAGTGATAACACGAAAAGTTATAGCATTTTCCGCCCGATTTACATAGATAAAAATTTTGATTCTTCGTTTATTATATTACACTATATCTCTATTTGTAGTATTTGTAGCATATTTCAGGTACTTAGCTTTTTCAAAGCATAAATGAGAAAAGGAAGAAAAATAATGGAGAAATGAAGAAGAAATGGCCATTTACCAGCAAAAACGTAGAATTCTGTATCAGAAGGCGTGCCGCCCGCCACAGGCGCATGCCGCGCGTCATAATTTTCAAAAGTGTGCCCCTTGGCACACTTCTTATCCCGACTGGCACATATTGAAGATACACGCCTCATGTCATAGCGCGCATGATACTCACCACGAATAATATAACTGTTACGAGAATATCTCCCTGAAGCGGACGAAACACACGGTTTTGCTAGAATTTCTCCATGACTGAAGAACGAGGATCATGGGACAATTCTTATTTTTGCTCACCATTTGGAATCTATAAAAGGAATTCAGTTATCAACACTTGGAGGTTGGATACCTACTCCAATTTTGCTATTTTCTGCATACTGCAACCTTGCTATTATTTTCCAGTTTTACAATTTTCCTGTTATTCTAGTTTCATAGTTTTTATTTTATTTTCCAGTTTCGTAGAATTCTCGTAAGCGTAGAAAACCCCCACCATTAAAGCAGTATTTCTTCATATCGGAGGGATACGACAACTTTACTTTTCTTCCTAGCTTCCAGAATTTGTTTAGGTTCATTTTTATTAATTCAAGACATTTTTATTCCGAAGTTGATCCTGCCGGCTTGTGAAGGATAACGCGCTACTCAATTATTTTCGTCAGTATTATTTCAGATTCCAATTTTAAGTATAATTTATTTATTTTTACCATGCATGTGTTATTGAATTTATTTTCTAATTTCACATTATTGAGCAATAAAATTATGTCTGGCTAAATTCCTCGATACCGATATGTGAAGTCCTAAACCGAAGGGATTCGATAATTAATTGGCATTAATATTTTTTGCAAAAGCACTTTTATGGGTTTTGATTTCCAATTTGGATATTTAATTGTTTTTATACGAGAGTAAAAGACAGACTAAGGTTTAAATCAACAGAGCGAGAGTTTGAGGTTTTAACCAGATAGTGGTAATTGAACATTAATTTTAAAAACAGCGAGAGCGCTTTAAAATTAATTGGACTCTATTTGTTTTCAAAAAATACTTTTGAATTTTAAATGAAACAGCGAGAGCGCTTATTTGAGTTTAATAATATGGCCTGAATTGATAGAACGGAAGTTTGAGACAAGGGTTTTTAAATAAATAGTTTCCACTAAAACAATGTTTTAATACTCAAAACAAAGGCAAATGACTTATTGAATCCCTGAAGTTGACAAATTACATACCGGTGTTCCGTTATTAATTATTAGATTTTAGTCAATTCCCGTTTAAACCAAAACACCCTAATTTTATAATTAGCCTTAGCTTTACACAATGACCCTAAGATAACAGTAGTTTGACCATCAGTCCTTGTGGGTTTGATATCTTTTAAAACTACGCGATTAGATTGTACACTTGCAGTCACTACTCCCGACATACTCGTAAAGTTGCGATCAAGTTTTTGGCGCCATTATCCGGACTGATTTAGTCAACACTGTAAATCCCTTGTTATGCAGTATAAACTAAGGCAACCAATTTTATTTTATTTTTATCCGTTGATTGTATGCCAAGCACTCTCTCTAAAGGAGAGGAATTAGAGAAACCAATCGACGAGTTGAGCATTTTGTTAATATAAAATGCAGAATTAGAGATTACCAAACCAAGTACAATCTTCCCGAATTCAATCTTCCAAACTATTCTCTTCCTGAACCAAGAATGGATGAAAGACCCCAAAATCTCCCTCTGAAGGATTATGCTGCCCCATCGCAAGAGGAACCTCACAGCAGTAATACTGCTCCCGCCATTGCATGAAACATTTTTGAGTTAAAACCTTCATTATTACAAGTTGTCCAACAAAACCAATTTTCAGGATGTCCTACAGATGATCCAAACCTTCATTTGTCTGTGTTTGTGCAGTACGCAGACACAGTGAAAGCAAATGGTGCCATCCCTTAAGCAATAAGACTTCGTCTTTTTCCTTTTTCGTTACGAGATAGAGCTAGAGCATGGCTCCAGTCTCTACCAACCAACTCGGTTACCACGTGGAACAAATTGAAGAAAGTTTTCCTAGCGCAATATTTTCCGTCGAGTAAGACGGCTATGCTAAGAGCCAATATCAACGGTTTTAAACAAAAGGAAAGAGAATCTCTTTTCAAAGCATGGGAAATATACAAAGACATGTTGCGACTATGTCCACATCACGTTCTAGAAGAATGGTTGATCAGCCATACATTTTTCAATGGTCTCTTGTACAACACAAGACTAACGATTGACTCAGCTGGTGGTGGTGCACTAATGGATAAACCATACCAAGATGCCTATCAACTTATCCAAAGTATGGCTCAAAATCATTATCAGTGGGGAAGCAATAGAACCATGATGGAGAAACCTCAAATGAAAGGCGGTATGCACGAAGTTAGTAGCTTAGACCAAGTTAACACTAAGGTAGAAGCCCTTACCCAAAAGATAGAAAGCTTGACCACAACTCCCACAGCCACCATGGCTGCAGTAGCTCTAACCTTTGATTTATGCAAACTTCACGCGCATGCTTCACCCGAATGTCCACTCTTAACAGGAATACCAATTGATCAAGTAAAATATGCTCAAGGAAACCCCTATGGAAATAACTATAACCCTGCTTGGAAGAACCATCCAAACTTCTCATACAAAAGCAACAACGCTTTGTATGCACCTGGGCAAGCTCCTACTACACCCCCAGGATTTCAGAAAGCCAACCAAAATGTCTCAAATATTCTGAATATCCCTATGAAGTCCAACATTGAAATAATGATAGAAAACTTTGTAGCAACCCAAGCTCAAACTAATAAAGATTTCATGAATCAA